CGGCATCCAGATATGTTCCAGACATTTCCCACATCTGTTAGACGAAACCATGTGTTAGACACCCATGTCTCAGACATTTTACTAGAAATTGAAATTGGGCTTACCTGTCGCTGTAATGGACTAGTCCAATCTAGCGAGGCTGATTAGAACTACTACTGATTATTATTACTGACCTGCGTAAAGGGATTAAGGTCACTGAGTCAACTGTAAATTCTGGGAGAAAAGGAATTACAGTGCATATGTACACTTGTATCCGATGAGTCGTAACACTCAAAGTAAAAAGTATTTGAGTTTAAACAAGATTCTTAACTATTCTTTTGTTTGAGTAATTTCATATATTTGACACTTCATAATTTAGATTTAGCGATATCAGGTTTGTGCTGATATTGGCAATATAGTGCTGATATTGATTGAATTTAGTTGTAATGACTCATGTTATTTTAATTGTTAGTTCTATGAATAAACATGGACGGGGTTGTGGTGTTCTTACTAATCACGGGGCGGTCGGGTAGCCTAGTGGTGAAAGCGTTCGCTCGTCACGCCGAAGACCCGGGTTCGATTCCCGACATGGGTACACTATGTGAAGCCCATTTCTGGTGTCCCTCGCCGTAATAATGCTGGAATATTGCTAAAAGCGGCGTAAAATCAAACTCACTCACTCAGTCTTACTCTTCACTGTCTGACAAATGGCGGAGTCCACTTAAACCGCAGGCAACAGGCATGGGATTAGTAATCAATCAACCGTTACTAACCCCGTCTAACACGTGGGGTGTCAGACAGATGCATGGGAGGACACCTCTGTGGCATATGAAGATCAACACAGTGTGTGACAGTACCGTTACTCAGTCACTCTTTAAGACGGTGTAGCAAGCCGGGTCCTTCCACGGTGTGGGGCGGTCGGGTAGCCTAGTGGTTAAAGCGTTCGCTCGTCACGCCGAAGACCCGGGTTCGATTCCCGACATGGGTACAGTGTGTGAAGCCCATTTCCGGTGTCCCCCCGCCGTGATATTGCTGGAATATCGCTAAAAGCGGCGTAAAACCATACTTACTCACTCACTCATTCCACGGTGTGTCGACAAAGCAATTTTCCGAGATCCTAAAGAGTCGACAAACCAAAAAGTATGGTAGTTCCCACAGTGTGATCACTCGGGTGTTATACTCGTCTTGGCGTGTTGGTTTAGCTGTAGAGTAGTCGGAGGATCCAGAAGTGAAGAAGGTGGTCCGTCGAGCTGCCACGCTGCCGTTAGTGCCCTTGGACATGGTAGAGGACGTAGGAGCATTACAAAACTTAGCCGCTGCGGCTAAGGTATCTAAAGATGTGGCCAAGGATTGGCTAAAGAAACAAGCGATGTGGCAAATATACTTACCGGCACCGCATTATATACCGAGTATATGTCAGGTTCAATGAACTACATACTACATGTGCGTTACTTCTTTTGAAGAGTGTAGATCTTAGTGCTTCGTGAATTATCAATGATTTTCGTGTTATTCCCTTATATATACAAAAGGGGGAAAGTACCTGTGCTTCACATAAAGTTATGTAAATGTTATGTTATTGAAAATAACAACACAACGCTTCGTTATTCGTCCGTTCAATGTTCTATCATAACAATTTCATTGACAAACCCATACCTAGAGACAAAGCGACACGCCCTAAAAGAGAGGTGATGCAACAATGTCAATTTCGGATGTGATCACCATTTGCGTTGATACAGGAGAGGCAGCTGCGGCGGAATGAAGACATCAGATGATTGAAAACAGCCTGGGGGATGTTGTTCCAAATGTCAATCAAAGATTGGCCGACCTGAACTACCGTTACCGGCTGGTTCTGGTCCCGTCGTATGCGTTGTTCCGTCTTATCCCAGACATGTTCTATAGGGGAGAGAACTGCAGAAACAGCCGGGCATGGTAGTCCAGCAATGTCATGTTGCTTCAAAACGTCTGTTCCAACACATGCAACCTCTGGGTGTGCATTACTCGGCTGCAACGTGATATTACGTCCCTGTATTTGTATAAAACCCTGTCTTCCCGGTTGCGTACGCCATTCAAATTGCCAGTTACAATGATGAGTTGTGTTTTCCCTAGAGTTGCGACGACACCCTTTACCATTACACTTCCACCCCCAAATCGACGATATTGAGTAACGCTAGCGTCGATAAAACGTTCGGCTCAACGCCTGTAGACCCTTGCACGACCATCAGAGCTGCCCAGATGAAACCTAGAGTGATCTGTAAACAGTGTCCCAGTCTTGTCTTGTGAACAGCAGTCATATATAATTCTTTCATGAAATGCATTGTCATGAGATTAGGTGAAATGGGGTTTAACGTCGCGTTCAACGTGCGTGTGTGCGTGCGTGTCTGTTTTGTGTTTTGCTTCTTCTAGTTCAGACTAATGACTAGTCCACTGAGATACCTTCCCACAGTTTAACATAGATACCCCACTCAGATACAGAATACTGACTCCGATACGACCAGTTCTTGTTTTATCCCTTTAATGTCGAGTGCCAGGCAGGGTAACAACAAGTACCACTTTAACTTAAAGCATCACTGTGGATCATAAGGACTTAAAGTATCACTAAGGATCATAAGGAAATAAATCCGTACTGTTGATCATAAGCACGTAAAGAGTCACTGAAGATCATAAGGACTTGAGGCGTCACTGTGGTTTTCGATCCAGGACTTATACTCGGACCCCGTGGTACCGCGGCATTCATCGTATCGCGGCATTTGTGATTTCCGATAGTTCACGCGGGACACGCCTCTTAGCAGCGGTCTATTAATGCAAATGAGTAACCAGGAATGGCTCACTTCGTAAACAATTTCAATTTCCTCGGAATGTTCCGTCTGCTGTAAGTAAGGAGTTATTAATGTGTTGATACATACTTCTGGCATCTTTTTTAATATTGCCTTACCCCGATCTATCAATGGCCAACGATATAACCCGCAGTTCCCCAAGTAAACTTTCTCTATCGACCTGAACTAGATCATCTGCATATTCATGGCGACTAATAAGGTAACGGAAGTACGTAGTCCGCACATTTTTTCCCGCTCTGTGCCCAGAATCTATTGGGAGATCATAAGGGCCATAATGCCAAATTTAGAAATACGTTCTCCACTAGTAGCCAAAAGATAAATACATACTTTGGGCATACTAGGAGCGTTTTTTATATATTTATTGTTGACTTTTAACATTTTTCCATTTTGTGACAAATTATTGTCATCCAATTTTTTTTAGAAACAATCTTAGAACATAATTCCTGATATTTTGTTGTTGACTTATAAAAATATTTTTCTCTTACTTTTCGGTAAATATACATTGAATACCTATTGCTGATAACACGTTTAGAATTTTACTTGTGCTGTCTTTGCACTTGTCTGGACAAATCACTGATGTCTGGCATGATCATACCAAATGGTTGGTAGAATTATGTCCTCTTTTTGTCCAATTCGGACCTCCATACACAACTTTTCTCTGTACCGCGATACGATGGAGTTCTCTCCCTTGTCAAACAGAGCGCGAGGCCCGGCTTTTACTCGGAGCTACTAATGTAAATAATGAACTTTTATCAGTAAAATATGCATTGTTTGATAAAATAAATGATATCTGATATGGAGAACACGAATAATCATAAAGGTTAGTGAGTGCATTTTGTTTCGATTAGCGTACATGACAAGTATCGCGATACCCCGAGGTTGCAGGCTAAATGATTGAGTGGGTTTCATTTTATGCCGCTTGTACCAATATTCCAGCAATATCACGGCGGGGGACACCAGAAATGGGCTTCACAAATTGTACCTATATCGGGAATCGAACCCGGGTCTTCGGTGTGACGAGCCAACGCTTTAACCGCTAGGCTACCCAACCGCCCCAAAGGACTTAAAGCGTCGCTGAGGATCATAAGGACTTAAAGCGTCGCTGAGGATCATAAGGACTTAAAGCGTCGCAGAGGATCATAAGGACTTAAAGCGTCGCTGAGGATCATAAGGACTTAAAGCGTCTTTGTCCAAGATGTTATCGTGAAGTACTGATCTTGAATCTAAGAAATATCTCTGACACCCCAAAAATTATGGCTCATTAAAAGTAGAATTCAATAGAAATATGTTATTTCGAGGAATGTGTATGATGAATGCCATGAGGAAATCACAAGGTGTTATCAATCGTTGTTACAACAATCCTGGTATCGCTGGGGGGGGGGGGGGGGGGGAGAAGGGGAGGGGAAGGGGGGGGGGGGGGTACTGTCATTGTGAAATGTCGTTTCAGGAAATGTGTACGAAAAGATTGCCACTAGTTCAGGAAATATGTACATAATGTCTGACCAATTCAGGGAAGTGTACATAGTGCTTGTATCATAACCACCATCCAAAGTTCATGCATAATCCAATTTGATCAACATTTTATCCATCCATAGCACACTCCAATAAACAATTCAATTCATTAACCGAGGTCTACAGTCACGCCTCGATCGGGGCTAATGACGTCATCATGATGAGGCGATCACCCACCTGTCAGCGCCCCGGGAACCACCTGTGCCGTTATCTTCTCACCTGGCCATACACATGAATGAATATAAATGGTTATCTGATTGTCAATGATAACAGTGCATATTGTTTGCAAAATTAGCGGTTTTCCACAAGCGGCGTATGGTCTCTGGATACATTCTTGCAAAACTTAATCTTTCGTCATCTGTCCTTTTGATAACGCAGAATAACATTTGTTTCATAAAATGTATAATTGCCTAGAAAATTGTTTCTTTCACGCAATTGTGTAACACAAATTCAACAATTATTTATCGATTTTAACAGATTGTGTTTAGTAGGGTTTTTTCCCTAAGACCATATGACATAATTTTCTTCTCTTATCAATTGATATTATCCGAGATAAAATACAGCGATAATGAAACGATTTTCCATCATGAGGGTAGTTGAACGGCGGAAATTGCCGAACTTTCCCGCTAAAACCCGAGGGAACGGGCACCTGCTGAAGAAGGGGGACAACTCTTTCAAACGCATGCGCAAGTTGAGTTCCTGCTGATTGTTGATCGCTGTCATCGTAGACTCAAAGCTGAAGATTTTCAGTTATAACAACAAATGAAGACTATTCGGGATATTCTGTGTTAGGGAAGCCCGCCATCACGAATTGTTTTGCCAGGTAACCAACAGTTTTCGATCCAGATCTTTTAATAACCTCTATGTCAGTGCCTAGAATGGCATGTTTAGGAATTCCTTCTGACCGATGTTCTGAATCTGTGTGTATGGATATAAGAAAAGATGCCGCTAAAGTGATTGTGGTGACACATGGGAATCCTAGAAATAGCACAGCCAGTACGTGTTGGTTGGGCCGACAGGTCATTCGTTATTCGATAAGTATAACACGTTGACACACTGCTCAATCAGGATCTAGTTTTATCGGGGGAAATCGATAAAAAGTTTGTATGATTGATTGTTTGGTTAGGCGAGGTTAATGAGGAAGAACGCTGTCACCACGCTGATGTCATCTTCTCCTTGAGCTAAGTATGTTGTCAGTGTCAGCTGACAACACCAACAAACTTTGGCCCGTTGTTTTGTATGATGGTGTATTTTATTATCAGTGACTTGGACAAGTATGTTTTTGCTTGCAAACACCTTATGCATGGGCTGTGTCAGTTTCCCAGGCATGTATTTGTTCACTTGGTGACTTGGGTAATGTGCCCACAACCCAACTCCCATTTTCCAAATTCTAGATATCCCTCTGCATGGTAAAGAACAACTAACATGAGGGCTTCAACAGATCCAAATATACTCATCACCAAAAGAAACATGAACCATAGAAACATATATAGAAGTATGTTCATAAAGAAGAGATGTTTCCAATGTGTATCACTTAATGACAAAACTAACAATCAATCAAGTGTTACCACAGAGTGTCTTTATTCTTATCACGATATTCACGTGATTTCCAAACTTTACAAGCTAATCCTGCACAAGACAAATCATGGATCTGTGACATCACATGTGATGCGTTCATGAGCGACGGTTTACACAACACAGCAGTATGTACGTTTGTGCATCCAACCAATATAAAATTTCTTAAATATGAATAATTCTTCATATATTAACCAAAAAGAATGGTATTTGCGTTTCTTTTGTCAGTGAGCATATTTTGACTCGAGTACCCAGGGGACGAAACTTGACTTCTGCATGAGTACCCGATACTAGAAAGAGTAAGAACTTGTGTAACTTCCTTTTTTCCCAGGGAATAAAAGTAGATAATATTACTTAATTTACATCAGAGCTTCAGATAAGCAGCTTATTTGCGTAACATACCCCCAAAAAATATTCAAAACCCAATTACTTTCAATTAACTTGCGTACAGTAACTTATGCATTAAATGAAAAACTCAAATGTGTAAAAACAGCATGCGTAAATACCCAATGGAGCTTTTTCAGCATGCGTACAAAGGAGCTAAATTCCGAAACACAATTACGATCCAATTTACTTTAAGAGTCAAGCCTATATAGAACAGTTATCATGGTATACAGCTAAAACATAATTTCATATATTTTAAATCTTAAAATGTTCACTCTTTTTTGGAAATACCCAATAGAGTGATGAATAGATGAGTGAAAAAATATTGGTTACCCAATGAAAAATGTAATAACCCAATTAAAATAGAAACCCTAGAGTAAACACTCAATTGCTCAGAAAGTTATCTGGAGCTTTGTTACATAACCATGACAACATGTCGATAAACCCACCTGTGTGTTAGATTTTCATAATCGTAATTTTCTGGAATATGTTGACCTAAGCACATCGTGTAAGGCAATGACGCTGTCACTGACGTACATGAAAATGTCTCGGGCAACTCTACAACTTGCTACAAAATGAATACACTGACAACTTATTTATCTACTGTGGCCAGAAACTTGCTCTATGTATTTGTAACAACAGGAAAGTAGTTTGAAATATTAATCATTTGATATCTGTTTGCAACAGTCTTTTAGAATGTGCCTGTTAACATAAGCTTGTATGTGATTGGATAACTGACAGAACATTCATCCAATGAAATTTCAGAATAATTACTATCAATTCTATATGCTGTATACACCACCTTCCTGGTAATGTCAATTGTTTGACTAAATTAATGAGACGTCTTTCTTTGATTACGTACATTTGTTTTGAAATTAACAAAATATTGAATTAGAGTTACCTCCCCTTCACGAGTACTCAGTACAGACTTGAGTTATGCTGATACCAACCGGCCCCAAGTACTTGAGTACTCGTTGGAGCCCTAAATTACACTACTTCAAACTATAAACTCATGAATCCAGAAAAGACATCGAGAATGATGTGGACACGATGTGTGGTATCAACCATTAGTTTACAGCACCCAGATTTTATTCAGGCATTCTTGGTAGATCTGGATTTATTCCTGACTTTCAGGGCAAACAACATTCATTCACTTTAAGAGGCTGTCGAGAAACCAGGACCTGTTGCACAGATGGGCCAGCAGTTTGTGTCAGTTTAGTTTGTGAGACAATGTTCGTATGTATTCAGAAATCAGTTTTGAACCAATTGATCAGTAAAGAGTGAAGGAGTGAGTTGGGTTTAACGCCGCTTTTAACAGTATTCCAGTTATATCACGGTGTGTCAGCTTAATGTGGGAGGAAAACCTGAAGTGATGGAGGTCTCAGATGTTTACCACTTCGGTGAAACCCATGAACACGGGTATGGTGCTGACAAACCTAAAAACATAATTGGGGCAAACCGGGATTCGAACCCACAATCATGGGTTTTTTTGCGTGCCCAAGGGATGCAACTCTGCACAGCGAATCGTGGCGCCTTAGACGACTGGGCCATCCGTGCCCCCTGATCAGTAAAGATAATGTAATGTGAGTTAGCAGAACATTTTGGAAATACCTTTTATGTTTGCAAACTCTGGAGTCATTTGTTCCAAAATGTCTAATTTTTCTTTTCAAAATTTGAAAATATCAAAAACATTGCTGATGCAGAAAGGATAGTCTGGATTTATTATCCACATTTAGTTTCACAAAAAGTCTGCATTGGCTATAATTGTCCTTGGACTAGCCCAGCTAACTGTTGACAGTGGTTATAATTGTCTTTGGTCTAGCCCAGCTAACTGTTGACAGCGGTTATAATTGTCTTTGGTCTAGCCCAGCTAACTGTTGACAGTGGTTATAATTGTCCTTGGACTAGCCCAGCTAACTGTTGACAGTGGTTATAATTGTCCTTGGACTAGACCAGCTAACGGTAGACAGTGGTTATAATTGTCCTTGGACTAGCCCAGCTAACTGTTGACAGTGGTTATAATTGTCCTTGGACAAGCCCAGCTAACTGTTGACAGTGGTTATAATTGCCCTTGGACTAGACCAGCTAACAGTTGACAGTTGTTATAATTGTCCTTGGACAAGCCCAGCTAACTGTTGACAGCGGTTTTATTGTCCTTGGACAAGCCCAGCTAACTGTTGACAGCGGTTATAATTGTCCTTGGACTAGCCTAGCTAACTGTTGACAGTGGGTATAACTGTCCTTGGACTAGCCCAGCTAACTGTTGACATTGGTTATAATTGTCCTTGGACTAGCCCAGCTAATGGTAGACAGTGGCTAGGATTATCCTTGGACTAGCCCAGCTAACTGTAGACAGTGGCTAGTATTAGCCCAGCTAAGGGTAGACAGTGGGTAGGATGATCCTTGGACTAGCCAAGCTAACTGTAGACAGTGGGTAGGATTATCCATGCACTAGCCAGCTAACTGTAGACAGTGGCTAGGATTATCCATGCACTAGACAGCTAACTGTAGACAGTGGCTAGGATTATCCATGCACTAGCCAGCTAACTGTAGACAGTGGCTAGGATGATCCTTGGACTAGCCAAGCTAACTTTAGACAGTGGCTAGTATTAGCCCAGCTAACGGTAGACAGTGGCTAGGATGATCCTTGGACTAGCCAAGCTAACTGTAGACAGTGGGTAGGATTATCCATGCACTAGCCAGCTAACTGTAGACAGTGGCTAGGATTATCCATGCACTAGACAGCTTACTGTAGACAGTAGCTAGGATTATCCATGCACTAGCCAGCTAACTGTAGACAGTGGCTAGGATTATCCTTTGACTAGCCCAGCTAACTGTAGACAGTGGCTAGGATTATCCTTGGACTAGCCAAGCTACCTGTAGACAGTGGCTAGGATTATCCTTGGAGTAGCCAGCTAACTGTAGACATGGTAGATAGAATTACGGTTATAGTATGGAGGTATGGGCTATGTTTAGCCCACAGAACTCCCAGACTGTGGTGCTCTGTGAGTCACTGACATTTGTGTGGAGGGCGGCAGGGGGAGACAGGGGAGGAGTACACATGTACTGGCCAGGCAAACAGGTGCTCCTCAGACCAGCAGGTGGTGTTTTCAGAGGGCTGACCTCTGTTGTTCCATGGATGTATTTATCACATCCTGCAGTTGGAGGATGAAAACATGTGAAAAGATTGGGAAGGAAGCTACAGTTAACATGGTTGACAAAAGTGGTTATATTTTGTTTACCGGATATGAAATTATGTAGACAAACACAAAGTACATTCCTTCATCCTCGAACTTCGTACATTTTGTCGTTGTTCAACTTTGCCTGTAATTGACACAAACTGTAATACATGACTCACGGTGTATGTTATATATAATGTATGCACATTTTATTCATTGGTAAGCCGATACACCAGCATACACTGTGTGAAAAAAAATTCATAATTTTTATGATGTTGGCAGATCTGGCTGATTCAGCATGAGCTTGTTCCAAGGTATTAATAAGCTTTGGCCTGTGTTTTAGAGTCATAGACACTCATCATGGTCTGTCTTGATCTCGAAAACAATATGTTGACATATAATGGTCAAACTACAACAAGTATTACTTTTAGCATGTTTAGTGAGTCAAAGTATGGCATTTATCATATGTGTATCCATTCTGTGACAACAAGGTTTGCAGGATGTCAATAACGGTTACCTGATAATAGTTCTGTAATTAAAGAGGAGCTGATCAGTTCACACATGATTTCTACCAAAATATCATTGCAAACAATATTGAATGAAAATTTGAATAAAATTTTAAAAATGGATTACAAATGTAAACCATGTGTACAATGAACACTTTTTTTACCATATAGTGCAACAA